TGGGATCTTGACTGGAGCCGAAGGCAGATGCTTAACTGACTGAGCCATCTAGGCACCCCTCTGCTGACCCTCTTTAAATAAAGCATTGTCAAGTGACAATTTCATGAGAGCAGGAGTTATTGGTAATTATCCAGTTACTATAGTGTAGGTCTTTGGTGTCTCTCCTAAACTCTTAGGTCTACATTTAATAACAAATCTGATTATTTCCACTGTATATTTGTTAATATCTACTGTTAACATATAGTTAGTTGTTTGTTTTTTCCTTACACACATCTTTTATTTTCTGTATTTTCCCTATTTCATAAACTCATGGTTAGCAGGGACCAATGTATAAAATAAATTATTAATGAAATACGTTATAAGTTGTTTTAATAAGTGTGAAACCTATGATAACACATGGAAACTGAAAATGAAAAGAATTTAAATTAATTCACTCACCATCCAGTTTTGTAACATTTTTTTAATGCTCAGTTATTTATCTTTTCTTTTTTACTTTTCCCGTTCTTTCTATGGTGAGGTACTTATCCAAGCAATAAACGTTGTTTTGGAGAGCTGCATTTGTATAGCAGATGAACAAATATAATATTAGAATATAGAATGGTTAAGAATTCTGCATTCCAAAAAACATACTGAAGCTTGTTTCTAGTGCTTAGGCAACACAGATCTGATCTCTAAGAACGCCTAGATATTGACATGCAAATGAGTAAATGAGACTCTTCTTTGAAATATGTTTGTAATACATACAAGTAGCTTAGAAGGGATTATTGAAGTGCTGCCAGAATACATTTAAAAAATGTTAAGTCTTCTCATTCATTATGTTGACTTTGGAAGAATTTGGAAACTGCCTTGAGATGCATGTAATATTTTGTTTATATGTGCTTCTTTGAGGGAAGAGATCTTGATTTTCATTACATTTTCAAAGGAATCCAGTGACCCCCAGAAAAGATTAAGAACTCCTTTGCCAGGTGGTATGAAAATATTGCCTGGTTTATTTGTACTGTTAGTTATAAATATAGATTGTTCATTGCAAAATATTCTAAACTGTCTCTTTTGCTCTGTTGGAGAACCATTTCTTTCTTTTGTCATGTGATATTTTGCAGTTATATGTTAAAATGCTAATCAAGCTAAAAGGTAAATCTGAGAAATACTGTACATTATATTCTTAGATTCTTAGCCCCAACATTTTATTTTTATGTAAACTTTACACCCAATGTGGGGCTTGAACTCACAACCCCAAGATCAAGAGTTGCATTGTCCACCAACTGAGCAAGCTAGGTGCCCCACCACACAAATTTTTTTGACCCATATCCCAGACATACCATTTTACTGATAAATTTTTTTTTAAAGATTTTACTTATTATTTATTTGAGAC